GACTGATTACCTCATTCTCCTCCTGTTCTTGGAAATATAAACACAAATGCAGTATAATGTGATCCTTTATTGACAACGTTTCACCCACGCAGTGGGCTTTTTCAAGTCACACACGGATCTACCTGGGGTTGGAAGGTACGGGAGTATTTATAGTTCAGAACGTTGGGGTCAGGTGAAGATTGCTGCATCAGATGATCTACCGGGTGGGGTTATAGAGTCTTGGGTAGCTAGGCGGGGATATTGGACAAGTTGTGAGTAGACCTTCTGCAGTGTTCTATGTTCTTATGTGGGATAGCGATGAAGAAGTTTCTTGGCGAGTGGTTCAGCTATGTTATAGAAGCCATTGTTGAAATTGTTGAAATTGTTGGTTATAGAGATAAACGATGATTCCAGGATTCTTCTGTATTGAGTGTTGTCTTCTGTGGCTATAAGTCTTGAGTTTTCTGTAGTTAATTAAATGGTTGTGTGAATTGCGATGTTGTACACAGGCATTCCTTGTATCGTCAGTCCTGCTTGCATATTGGTGTTCTGAAATACGTGTTTGGAGGTCTCTTGATGTTTCGCCCACATATAATTTGTTGCAGTCATTACAAGGGATTATGTATACCCCTGCAGAGGATGGAGGCTTGTCCTGTCTACTACTGGTGATGTCCTTGATGGTCGTGGTTGTGGAGGTAGATACTTGGAATGATGTTTTGGCAAAGATGTTGGAAACATGTTTGGCAATGGAGTTGGTGGGAAGGACTATGTATCTCTTCTCGGCAGTGTCTTCTCTGGGTGTGTTGAAGATGTTTAATGCTCGCCGTCTGCAGTCTCTGATGAAGTGACGAGGATAGTGGAGTTTGGAAAATACTTGTTCAATTATAGTGCATTCTTCCTCAAGGAACTCGTTGCTGCAGATTCTGAGTGCACGCAGGAAGAAGCCTATAATTACACCACGTTTGGTTTTGGTGTCGTGGTGAGAGTAGAAGTGGAGAAGATCGTTTTGGTTGGTGGGTTTTCGATAGACTTTAAAGGTTCGCCAGGACTGCACTGAGTGGCGAACCCATGGGTAGTCCAAAAGTCTGCTGAAAGAGGTGATTTTCGAAAGAGAAACACGTAAAGCTAACACATAGTTCAACGAACCTATACATGGAACATCTAGAAGCCGAACGTTTCTCCACCATTATTCCTTCGTCTGTCACCTGGCTCCGTTATGTTGACGACATTCTCCTCATAACTCCTATACGCTTCAACGTTCAAGCTCTCCAAGACAAGCTCAACCAGGTCGAGCCTTCAATCCAATTCACACTTGAAGAAGAAGTCGACAACACTCTTCCTTTCCTTGATGTTCTACTCTGCAAAGCTGACCACGAACTTCGTTTTAAAGTCTATCGAAAACCCACCAACCAAAACGATCTTCTCCACTTCTACTCTCACCACGACACCAAAACCAAACGTGGTGTAATTATAGGCTTCTTCCTGCGTGCACTCAGAATCTGCAGCAACGAGTTCCTTGAGGAAGAATGCACTATAATTGAACAAGTATTTTCCAAACTCCACTATCCTCGTCACTTCATCAGAGACTGCAGACGGCGAGCATTAAACATCTTCAACACACCCAGAGAAGACACTGCCGAGAAGAGATACATAGTCCTTCCCACCAACTCCATTGCCAAACATGTTTCCAACATCTTTGCCAAAACATCATTCCAAGTATCTACCTCCACAACCACGACCATCAAGGACATCACCAGTAGTAGACAGGACAAGCCTCCATCCTCTGCAGGGGTATACATAATCCCTTGTAATGACTGCAACAAATTATATGTGGGCGAAACATCAAGAGACCTCCAAACACGTATTTCAGAACACCAATATGCAAGCAGGACTGACGATACAAGGAATGCCTGTGTACAACATCGCAATTCACACAACCATTTAATTAACTACAGAAACTCAAGACTTATAGCCACAGAAGACAACACTCAATACAGAAGAATCCTGGAATCATCGTTTATCTCTATAACCATCAATTTCAACAATTTCAACAATGGCTTCTATAACATAGCTGAACCACTCGCCAAGAAACTTCTTCATCGCTATCCCACACAAGAACATAGAACACTGCAGAAGGTCTACTCACAACTTGTCCAATATCCCCGCCTAGCTACCCAAGACTCTATAACCCCACCCGGTAGATCATCTGATGCAGCAATCTTCACCTGACCCCAACGTTCTGAACTATAAATACTCCCGTACCTTCCAACCCCAGGTAGATCCGTGTGTGACTTGAAAAAGCCCACTGCGTGGGTGAAACGTTGTCAATAAAGGATCACATTATACTGCATTTGTGTTTATATTTCCATTGTGTCGGTATTTTATACCATTTATTTCCATCCTCCTGTTCTTCAAGATTCTCCTTTGTATGGACTGATGAAGCCACTGTGTGGCGAAACGTTTCCTCAATAAAGATACCCAAGAGTTGCACATGTGTCTAATTTATCAACATGTCGGTTCTCTGAACCATTCATCTACAAAGACTCTTAAGTTTCATTCACTTGTTAGACGAAGAATGAGGGGAGACCTGATCGAAGTGTATAAGTGGAAGATAGGTATTAATAAAGGGGATATTAACAAGGTCTTGAGGATATCTCTCCAAGAGAGAACCCGCAGTAATGGATTTAAATTAGATAAGTTTAGATTTAGAAAGGACATAGGAAAGTATTGGTTTGGAAATAGGGTAGTTGATGAGTGGAACAGTCTACCTAGTTGGGTTATTGAGGCTAGGACTTTGGGTAGTTTCAAATTTAGGTTGGATAAGTACATGAGTGGGAGGGGTTGGATTTGAGAGGGACTTGCACATCGGAGCTTGTTTCTTGGGTGGCATTGAAAATTGGGTTGGTCAAATGTTTGTTAGTGGGATGAATTGTAAAGGACCTGCCTAGTATGGGCCAACAGGCCTGCTGCAGTGTTCCTCCTTTCTTATGTTCTTATGTTCTTAAGTATAGGTAACAGAAGTCCAAAAGTTATTTTACAGCTCTATACATCACTAGTGAGGCCTCATTTAGATTATGCTGCTCAGTTTTGGTCCCCTTACTACAGGATGGACATAGACTCATTAGAGAACATACAGAGAAGAATGACTAAAATGATTTACTGTGTAAGGAACCTCCCGTATGAAGATAGACTTAAAGCCTTAAATCTCCACTCTCTGGAGAGGCGTAGAATGAGGGGAGATATCATTGAAGTGTATAAGTGGATGACGGGCATAAACAAGGGAGACATTAATAAAGTACTGAGGGTGTCGAACCAGGTAAGAACCAGGAATAATGGATTTAAGTTGGATAAATTTAGATTTAGAAAGGACATAGGTAAGTACTGGTTTTCTAACAGAGTTGTAGATGCGTGGAACAGTCTTCCTAGTGGGGTGATAGAGGCTAGGACCTTGGGTAGCTTTAAGAAGAGACTGGACAAATATATGAGTGGGAGGGGCTGGGTTTGATTGGTGTCATGGGGTGCGGGAGTTATTTCTTGGGTAGCTTTAGGTAGATGTCGTTTTGATAAGGACCTGCCTCGTATGGGCCAGTAGGCCTTCTGCAGTGTTCCTACATTCTTATGGTTATGTTCTTACATGAGTTAATAGAATTATCAAAGCTTATTCCTTGGGTAGAACTGAAAATTGAGTTGGGCAAACATTCTGCTAGTGGGATGGATTGTGAAGGACCTGCCTAGTATGGGCCAACAGGCCTACTGCAGTGCTCCTTATGTTCAGTTACCCTACATGGCAGACTATCCCTAAACTCTTTCCTCCTAAATAACAAGCTGCCAGTTTTTTTGTGAGGATCAGTCCCATTATTGGGAGTGATTATGTCGGAGGATCTCACCTTCAAGGACCATAACATTGTATCAATCGCATCTGCTAGGAAAATGACAGGATGGATAATGAGAACCTTCAAAACTAGGGAGGCCAAGCCCATGATGACACTCTTCAGGTCACTTGTTCTATCTAGGCTGGAATATTGCTGCACTCTAACAGCACCTTTCAAGGCAGGTGAAATTGCCGACCTAGAAAATGTACAGAGAACTTTCACGGCGCGCATAACGGAGATAAAACACCTCAATTACTGGGAGCGCTTGAGGTTTCTAAACCTGTATTCCCTGGAACGCAGGAGGGAGAGATACATGATTATATACACCTGGAAAATCCTAGAGGGACTAGTACCGAACTTGCACACGAAAATCACTCACTACGAAAGCAAAAGACTTGGCAGACGATGCACCATCCCCCCAATGAAAAGCAGGGGTGTCACTAGCACGTTAAGAGACCATACAATAAGTGTCAGGGGCCCGAGACTGTTCAACTGCCTCCCAGCACACATAAGGGGGATTACCAACAGACCCCTGGCAGTCTTCAAGCTGGCACTGGACAAGCACCTAAAGTCAGTTCCTGATCAGCCGGGCTGTGGCTCGTACGTTGGTTTGCGTGCAGCCAGCAGCAACAGCCTGGTTGATCAGGCGCTGATCCACCAGGAGGCCTGGTCACGGACCGGGCCGCGGGGGCGTTGACCCCCGAAACTCTCTCCAGGTAACTCCAGATAAATATACGAGTGAAAAGGATTTGGTTTTATTAGGACCTGAGGCATTGACGTGGATTTAAATTGGATAAATTTAGATTTAGAAAGGACATAGGTAAGTACTGGTTTTCTAACAGAGTTGTAGATGCGTGGAACAGTCTTCCCAGTGGGGTGATAGAGGCTAGGACCTTGGGTAGCTTTAAGAAGAGACTGGACAAATATATGAGTGGGAGGGGCTGGGTTTGATTGGTGCCATTGGGTACGGGAGTTATTTCTTGGGTAGCTTTAGGTAGAGGTCGTTTTGATAAGGACCTGCCTCGCATGGGCCAGCATGAGAGAGGTTAGGTGCAATCTGTTCTATAAATGGAAGAGCGTCATCATCATTGTTTAGTGTTCTTTAGACCGTGTGTCAGGCTGTTAGTAGAGGACTAGGAAAAGACCAGAATGGTAGACATTAACATGAAGTCGCTTCCCAGCGTCCATATAACCATAGATCCCAATTATATTTCTGATAATGAAAAAACACTCAGTGACGCTGAATCATCCCGTTTAAATCCAGACTTCTTGAGAGGTGAGTTATATTTTGTGTATTTGTAAACTGTTCACAAAGCCAACATTTGCTAATGTTTATTGTTGTGACGTTTAACCTTCCCGTATGTTAACATAAGAACGTAAGGAGGAACACTGCAGCAGGCCTGTTGGCCCATACTAGGCAGGTCCTTTACAATTCATCCCACTAACAAACATTTGACCAACCCAATTTTCAATGCCACCCAAGAAATAAGCTCTGATGTGCAAGTCCCACTCAAATCCAACCCCTCCCACTCATGTACTTATCCAACCTAAATTTGAAACTACCCAAAGTCCCAGCCTCAATAACCCAACTAGGTAGACTGTTCCACTCATCAACTACCCTATTTCCAAACCAATACTTTCCTATGTCCTTTCTAAATCTAAACTTATCTAATTTAAATCCATTACTGTTGCGTAAGTGTTTCAACTCATCAGTTTTCGAAACCATTGATCACTTAATATTTTTCAGAGGAACCAACAACGTCACCTGCGGGAGGTAGCAATAACGATGGAAAATCTCTAGACCGAAATCCATTGGTACGCGTTGGTATACCTTTCTATGGTGTATACCGAGACGTCAGGGACCGCTACTCACAGTATCCCTCTGACATTATTGATGGTTTAAATGGCCAAGTTGTTGCTGCCGCCATCTTTATTTTCTTTGCCGCCCTTTCCCCTGCCATCACCTTCGGTGGCATGTATGGTAAGACGTCTCTAACACAACTCGTTCTTAACTCTCACTATAATTTGCATATTTTGTACTTTTTGCAAGAAAGTATTAGAATAATTTGTTTATTTTAATTAATTCCTGGTATACATTTTTTTAACCCAGCTGATAAAATGAATAACGACATCGGAGTTGGGGAATGTCTGTTGCTGTCTAGCGTAAATGGCGTCATTTTTGCCCTGTTTGCTACTCAACCTCTTCTGATAGTCGGCGCTACTGGTCCTCTTATGGTCTTTGATATCAGCCTATATACCGTAAGTCTTTCCATGTTGATAACAACACATATGTTCAATACTTGATTATCTTAATAACAACACATTAGACCAAATAACAAGACATTAGACCAAATAACAAGACATTAGACCAAATAACAAGACATTAGACCAAATAACAAGACATTAGACCAAATAACAAGACATTAGACCAAATAACAAGACATTAGACCAAATAACAAGACATTAGACCAAATAACAAGACATTAGACCAAATAACAAGACATTAGACCAAATAACAAGACATTAGACCAAATAACAAGACATTAGACCAAATAACAACACTCGTTGGTGATGGTAATAAAGTTGGTAGAATTACCCACAATATGTAAAGTAAAAGGACACAAGTGCAACTAATGTGACATTTTATTGTGTCAACGTTTCGCTTGACAAAGCTCCTGGAGAGCGAAACGTTGCCACAATGAAATGTCACATTAGTTGCACTTGTGTCCTTTTACTTTACAACACTTGTTGGTCCTTATAGCCATTTATCTACTCAGATAATTCTGTTATTTAAGTTATACAGAAATCTTGTAAATATTTTTAATTATATTGCCATGAAATAAGGAAAATATAATTGACTTACGTGTTTTCTCTTCCTAGTTCTGCAAGACATTTGAGGTGGACTTCCTGTCCATGAGAGTGTGGATTGGTTTCTGGATGACGATCACTGCCTTGATAGTTGTTGCCACTGAAGCTGTGTTCCTGGTGAGGAACATCACCAGGTTCACTGAGGAGATCTTCGCCTCTTTAGTCAGCCTTATCTTCGTTTACGAAGCCATTGCGAAGATGGTGAGAATTTTCAAGGACCATCCGCTCCTGGAGAAGTATAGCCATGGTGATCATGGCTCTAATGCAACGTAAGTTATTACCGTTTTCGTGAATTTATCTGAAGTGATGGTGTTTAGATAGCAACTAAAACATTATGGTCAAACACTGTTGTTTGTTGAACAAATTTTAGAGTAATGAGCAATTCACACTTCCACACCCGGTCACAACTGTAGTGAGTTATTGGTGCAAATGTTGATTGTTGAGTCTCTCTCTCTCACACACACACACACACACACACATACAAATTCATACACACACACACATAAACACACACACACACACACACACACACACACACACACACACACACACACACACACACACACACACACACACACACACACACACACACACACACACACACACACATTAATGCTCTCAACTCATTAAGCATAAATTGTGGCATGCTTGTGTCAGAAGCCAGACACAGGTATGGTAGGATTGTGGACAGTGGAGTCAGAGTGCACATGCTGTGGATCCCATCTCACATTGGTCTTCAGATGCATAATAGAACTGATAAATTGGCTAAGCTGTATGCTTTCAAAGAGGGAGTAGATTACAATCTTGGCTTGTCAGGTAGTAGTTTGAGAACAATAATACGAAAAGAACTTCAGCTGAATTTTATGGACTTAAGGCTCAGGGAGATTGACACCAGTGAGTCCATCTATCATCATTCTATCATGCAGGAGGAGCCACATTCAAATTCAAATTCAAATTCAAAGTTTATTCTCTATAAGGATTACAATGCTGAGTTTACAGAAATTTGGTTATTGTGTGGTTTACATGTAGTAAAATTGTGATTACAGAGTGTACCACTAGAACGCTTAGCATGGCTAGGCATTTCGGGCAGACTTAGTTTTATTCTTAATTTTAAAATATTACAAATTATGAGGTAAGTTGGTATTATGGCTAAGTGACTAAATACTAGTTTGTGAGTTTAGCAATGTGAATGCTTTTGTTTTGGTACAGTACATAGTTTCAGTATTGGAGTATCACATGTCTATGGTGCATCCAACAAAATAAGCAGACTCTTGGATGTCACTACCGCCCGGCTCCGGCTGGGTTACAAGTATCTTTGGCAGATTAAATCACCACCACCACACTGTTCGTGTTGTATTTATCTTCAGGTTTAACAAAACTCACGATTTTAAAGTATAAACATACAATATTTATATTCTTTTCAGATTGTATGTTAATAACAGCAGTGAGACGTCGCTACCTAACAGCATCAACAGCACTACAGAAGAGCTCCTGAAAGTAACTGCCCAGCCCAACACAGCTCTACTTTCCCTTATACTCATGCTGGGAACCTTCATTGTCGCTATTAAGCTTAAAGACTTCCGCAACTCCAAATTCTTAAAGAGAGGCGTGAGTTGTAGTTAATTTCTATTCCTTACTGTTTATTTTCAACGCATAAAATTGTTAATGTATATTTACTAAGCCCGTTAATAGCCGTAATCAATATTATTCACATCCGTCAATATTCTTGTTGGACAGATACGTCGATCTCTGGGAGACTTTGGTGTTCCTATAGCCATTTTCCTCATGGTGCTGCTGGACTACCTCATTAAGAACACGTACACCGATAAGTTGACAGTGCCCGAAGGAATTCAACCATCCAACCCTGAAGTCCGTGGCTGGTTGATCAACCCAATGGGCCAGGAGAGTCCACTGCCGGTCTGGACGATGTTCGCCGCCGCTCCAGCTTCCATGCTCTTGTTCTTCCTCGTCTTTCTTGAAGATAATATTTGTCAGTAAGTTATGGTGTGTTTTAAAAGTGTATAAACGTGTAAAAGGTCGGAATATTTGATATGTGATAATTTGAATATATGATAAATTTAGATACAGATATATACTGGGATTAATTTCATACAGAGAGAATTTTTTGTGAACATCAATGGTTGTCCAGTAATTATTATTATAATCAAGGGGAAGCGCTAAACCCGGAGGATTATACAGCGCCTGGGGGGGATGTGGAAGGCATTCAGGCTTAATTCGGGGAACTGGAGCACAGATCCAATTCCCTAAATTAAGGAACCTTCCTTGAGGGGGGTTGTCCAGTAAAAAACAGCAAATGCCCTTCACCGAAGTTGACAATGATAATTGCTATTCCAGAACTGTACAGTTTAATAATTTCTCTCTCTCTCTCTCTTTTTAGTTTGATTCTGAGCAAGCCAGAGCGCAAGATGGTCAAAGGTACAGGTTTCCATTGGGATCTTTTTCTGTCTTGTTTCATTAACTTGATTTCTGGACTCTTGGGAGCTCCCTTCATGGGACCAGCTTGTGTCAGGACTGTGTCCCACACTGCAGCTCTGACCATCACCACACCTGCTTCCTACCCTGGAGAATCTCCAAAAATTCAAGGTGTCAGAGGTATGTGAAGGTGTCTGGTGTGTAATTGTGAAGGTGTCTGGTGTGTAATTGTGAAGGTGTCTGGTGTGTAATTGTGAAGGTGTCTGGTGTGTAATTGTGAAGGTGTCTGGTGTGTAATTGTGAAGGTGTCTGGTGTGTAATTGTGAAGGTGTCTGGTGTGTAATTGTGAAGGTGTCTGGTGTGTAATTGTGAAGGTGTCTGGTGTATAATTGTGAAGGTGTCTGGTGTGTAATTGTGAAGGTGTCTGGTGTGTAATTGTGAAGGTGTCTGGTGTGTAATTGTGAAGGTGTCTGGTGTGTAATTGTGAAGGTGTCTGGTGTGTAATTGTGAAGGTGTCTGGTGTGTAATTGTGAAGGTGTCTGGTGTGTAATTGTGAATGTGTCTGGTGTGTAATTGTGAAGGTGTCTGGTGTATAATTGTGAAGGTGTCTGGTGTATAATTGTGAAGGTGTCTCAATAAATCAGATTTAAATTGTGCATAATTTGGATAACTAATAATTATTCATTTGCCTAAAGTCAGTTTTAATCAGTCATTTTTTCCGTGATAATATTAATATTAAAAGGGCAATACATTGTAAGGAATATTAGAATGTACTCGACATGTTTCTGTAATAATTTTTATCTGCCACCCCCCCCCCATTTTTTTTTTCACAGAGCAGCGACTAAGCAGTTTTGTGGTGTCAATTTTAATAGGCCTATCTGTCCTGCTATCAAAAATTTTGAACCTGATACCAAAATCAGTTTTATTGGGTGTCTTCCTGTACATGGGTGTGGCTTCCACTGCTGGTATTCACCTCATTACAAGAACGATACTACTGCTGAAGCCAGTCAAGTACCATCCTGATACCCCCTTCGTTAGAAAGGTATTATACAATTCAGAATATCTATGTGGTATTCAGTATTACCAGGTTGCTAAAGACACATACGCAATAGTTAGGTATCTTTATTCCGGAACGTTTCGCCTACACAGTATGTTTCAGTCGAGTACAGAACTGTTTCAGATTTCTCCAGGCTAAGGAACTGACCACCTCAGAACTACACGCCCTTTTACTAGTGATGGACTGATTTACATCTTCACATACTGCTTCTGCTAACTCCTTTGAAGATGCCTACTCTGTAGGCCTAAGGTTTCGGAATAAAGATACCTAACTCCCTCTCAAGAATAAGATAATTGTTCAATATTTAGGAAAACAGGGAACTAATTACTTCTTACTTGTTGTGTCGATAAACCCACTGGATGGCTAAACATTTGCAATAAACCCACATGTTGCACGTGTGTAATTCTTTATCGTGATGTTATTTACATAAATATCTGTGTAAACTCCCGATTTATTCTTTACAGGTCGACACAGGAAAGATGCACATATTTACCATAGTGCAGTTACTGATGCTCGGCTTATTATGGGCAGTAACTCTGTCTCCAGCCTCCATCGCTCTACCCTTCGTTCTCATCCTTCTCATTCCTCTGAGGCTCTATATTCTACCCCGTGTTTTCAGCAAAACAGAACTCAGTGCAGTAAGTTATCTTTCCATTTGCGTCTGATTTTATTTCTTTCTCGAAAGAATATTTCTTGATGCGACAAATCACGAAAGCCCCTGGAATTTCACTATTTTTTTTCACTGGATAGTTTGTATGTCGTGATTTCACCTGTTTACTGTTATCTTATTGCATCTCTCAGTCTATTAGTTACTAATCTTTCCTGATATCTTCTGCAATTCTCTAAAGCTTGATGGCACAGAATCAAACAGTGAGGGCGAGGATGAACCTGATTTCTACGAGGCTTCTCATGGACTTCCAGCCAACATCGACAACTGACCATCGCTGAAGTACAACAGACACGAAGTCGCCCCATCGCAGGAAGCATCGTTGAGAATCTTGGGCAAATCCCAAGACAGCAATGTGTGTTTTTACCCCCTTTTTTAGGGCTCTGCTTTGGGTTTGACGACCCACAATAACTAGACTCACGAAATCGTAATGACACGATTGCAAACAAACCATACCACGGATGTGGCTTGAACCCGCGGTTCAAAACTCCAGACCGTCGCATTAGCGACGGTCTGGAGTTTTGAGACTCTCTAACCACGGGTTCAAACCCCGTATATTTCTGCTGCCCCAATCAACCCCCCTTTTATGTTACATAACTTACCTCCTAAAGAATATATTAGCGAGCGAAAATCAATTGACAGCTCAACGAATTTATATTACATGGTAGGAAAGTAATGGAAATTTTTACGCTTAATTGTAGCAAGTCTGATAAGATTAGCGAGGTGTCTCACGATGGCGGCTTGACCCCTTTATCCTTGGAGGGGGCTCAGCCCCCTCAAAGCCCCCCAAATGAAAATAGCCATATTAGTAACACCGCTTCAAAACAAGTCCCTTAGCCCCTTTACAATCAGCCCCCAGAACTATCCCTTCCTATGGAAATTCTTGCGCCGCTCTTGGTATATTGTATATACCAAATTGACCATATATACAGTTGTTGCATTATGCACATAGCCAGTTTATGTGAATCAGTATATATACGTTTTATAGGGCTTTTGTAAAAAAAATTATTTCAATTTATTCTGTCTTGATAATGTTAAAATTATAAATAAAAAAGTTATTTCGAGATTTTTTCTTTGTCTTTTTTGTGGGTTGACCACAGAATTAATGTCCACTATTTGCTGGTCAACAGCCTGGTTGATCAGATCCTGATGCACCATGAGGCCTGGTCACAGACCGGGCCGAGGGGGCGTTGTCCCCTGGAACTCGAGGTATCTACAGGTATTTCCCACCTTTGTAGATGAATGGTTCAGGGAACCGATACGTTGATAAATTAGGCACATGTGCAACTCTTGGGTATCTTTATTGAGGAAACGTTTCGCCACACAGTGGCTTCATCAGTCCATACATAGGAGAAACTTGAAGAACAGGAGGAGAATGAGGTAATCAGTTGAGTAATAATTGAGTCGATGTGTTCAGTCCATCAATCTTGATGGACTGACCACATCGACTCAAGGTTGAGGGACTGATTACCTCATTCTCCTCCTGTTCTTCAAGTTTCTCCTACGTATGGACTGATGAAGCGAAACGTTTCCTCAAGAGTTGCACATGTGTCTAATTTATCAATTCCCACCTTCAGGACTCACGACCGGCAAACTAAATTGACTATATCTGTTCCTAAATTTAATCTCGGTTATGTATCACATACCTGGAACATCTTGTCTTCTGTTTATTCTCTCTGACTCACAAATGTCTACTGGAAGCTTAAATCCCTAACTGTTTAATTGTTTTCTTGCATCTCAGCTGCCGACCCTTCATGAGACGACTCTTCCTAAGACGACCCCTCCTCTGCCTTAATTAAAACCTCCAGTTGTGATATCCGCTACTGGATATTCCAGCTGTGATATCCGCTACTGGATATTCCAGTTGTGATATCCGCTACTGGATATTCCAGTTGTGATATCCGCTACTGGATTTTCCAGTTGTGATATCCGCTACTGGATTTTCCAGTTGTGATATCCGCTACTGGAATTTCTAGTTGTGATATCCGCTACTGGATATTCCAGTTGTGATATCCGCTACTGGAATTTCTAGTTGTGATATCCGCTACTGGATATTCCAGTTGTGATATCCGCTACTGGATATTCCAGTTGTGATATCCGCTACTGGATTTTCCAGTTGTGATATCCGCTACTGGATTTTCCAGTTGTGATATCCGCTACTGGAATTTCTAGTTGTGATATCCGCTACTGGATATTCCAGTTGTGATATCCGCTACTGGAATTTCTAGTTGTGATATCCGCTACTGGATATTCCAGTTGTGATATCCGCTACTGGATATTCCAGTTGTTATATCCGCTACTGGATATTCCAGTTGTGATTTTCCGCTACTGAATTCTAGTTGTGATATCCGCTACTGGAATTTCTAGTTGTGATATCCGCTACTGGCTTTTCTAGTTGTGATATCCGCTACTGGATATTCCAGCTGTGATATCCGCTACTGGATTTTCCAGTTGTGATATCCGCTACTGGATATTCCAGTTGTGATATCCGCTACTGGATATTCCAGTTGTGATATCCGCTACTGGATATTCCAGCTGTGATATCCGCTACTGGATATTCCAGTTGTGATATCCGCTACTGGATATTCCAGCTGTGATATCCGCTACGCAGATTCCAGGAGTCTTCCAGCCTCCTCCTTACTGCACCTTCCCATGTTCCTCCACTGTTTGCAGTGTCTCTTCAGAGCCTCTATGTTCAACATTGTCAGCAAGAAATACCAAGTGTAATAAAGTTGTTAGGTAAGACACATATGCAACGGTTAGGTATCTTTATTTTGAAACGTTTCGCCTACACAGTAGGCTTCTTCAGTCAAGTACAGAAAAGTTGATAGAAGCAGAAGATACTTGAAGACGATGTAATCAGTCCATCACCCTTAAAGTTTTGAGGTGGTCAGTCCCTCAGTCTGGAGAAGAGCATTGTTCCATAGTATGAAACAATATGGAGATGAAGTGACAGGATGGAGCCTTATATAGCGCCATATTGTTTCATACTATGGAACAATGCTCTTCTCCAGACTGAGGGACTGACCACCTCAAAACTTTAAGGGTGATGGACTGATTACATCGTCTTCAAGTATCTTCTGCTTCTATCAACTTTTCTGTACTTGACTGAAGAAGCCTACTGTGTAGGCGAAACGTTTCATAATAAAGATACCTAACCGTTGCATATGTGTCTTACCTAACAACCTGTCGGTATTTTATACCATTTTAATGTAATAAAGTTGGTAGAACTACCGACAATATGTAAAGTAAAAGGACACAAGTGCAACTAATGTGACATTTATTGTGGCAACGTTTCGCTCTCCAGGAGCTTTATCCTGGAGAGCGAATCGTAATGGCTTGATAAAGCTCCTGGAGAGCGAAACGTTGCCACAATAAATGTCACATTAGTTGCACTTGTGTCCTTTTACTTTACAACAAATACCAACTATAACAATTCCCACTTTGTGTTAAATTTATTCTCCCACAACATTACTGTCCAAGACCCACTGGAAAATGTTCCAGTTTCTTTCTCTTTCTCTCTTTTTTTTTTTTTTTTTTTTTTTTTTACACAGGGTTTGACAAGGTTAAGGATCCCTAGCTTTATTGACAGCTATTTACAGGTTAAGGATTCCTAACTTTATTGGCAAGCTAAGAGCTGTTACCTACATCAGCTCTCTCTCTCTCTCTCTCTCTCTCTCTCTCTCTCTCTCTCTTTGTTCTTAACAAGCTTATATTTTGGCGATTTGTAATATTTTTCCCCATACCCATTCCACAATACGATTTTTTTAAATTCACAAACTTGACAAATTCACACCATTCCATAAGTTTCAAAAATAAAAACTAGTGTTCTGTTCCTACCCAAAAGAACTTAATTTACTATGCTAGAAGTTGTATTTAGCTATTATCGCACATACCATAATAGCTGAGGGACAAAATTATCATACTTATGGTATAATTATCATAAGAGTAGCAGCCCCAGGAGATCCTATCCTACATAGCAAAAAAAGTAAAATACAAACCTAAAATCGTGTTCCAGTTGTCGTTCTTTCTGTGTCTCTGGAATGAGTCTGTCACAGCTCGATAAGACGTTATGTCTTTGTTTTTCCGCGTGGAATGACTCCGGGTGCGTTGGTGGGGAGTAAACTGGCGAGGCGTCTGGAAGCGAGGATTCCAGACTCTCAGCAGTTCTGTATTGATTCGTAATTAGGGATTTATTCCATTATTATAAGGGTCTGGTTTAGGGGAGATGTGATATCCGCTACTGGATATTAAAGATGTGGTATCCGCTGCTGGATATTCCAGTTGTGATATCCGCTTCTGGATATTCCAGTTTTGATATCCGCTACTGGATTTTCCAGTTGTGATATCCGCTGCTGGATATTCCAGTTGTGATACCCGCTACTGGATTTTCCAGTTGTGATATCCGCTGCTGGATATTCCAGTTGTGATATCCGCTGCTGGATATTCCAGTTGTGATATCCGCTACTGGATATTCCAGTTGTGATATCCGCTACTGGATATTCCAGTTGTGATATCCACTGCTGTATATTCCAGTTGTGATATCCGCTGCTGGATATTCCAGTTGTGATATCCGCTACTGGATATTCCAGTTGTGATATCCGCTACTGGATATTCCAGTTGTGATATCCGCTACTGGATATTCCAGTTGTGATATCCGCTACTGGATATTCCAGTTGTGATATCCGCTACTGGATATTCCAGTTGTGATATCCGCTACTGGATATTCCAGTTGTGATATCCGCTACTGGATATTCCAGTTGTGATATCCGCTACTGGATATTCCAGTTGTGATATCCGCTACTGGATATTCCAGTTGTGATATCCGCTACTGGATATTCCAGTTGTTGATATCCGCTACTGGATATTCCAGTTGTGATATCCGCTACTGGATATTCCAGTTGTGATATCCGCTACTGGTTTTCCAGTTGTGATATCCGCTACTGGATATTCCAGTTGTGATATCCGCTGCTGGATATTCCAGTTGTGATATCCGCTACTGGATATTCCGGTTGTGATATCCGCTACTGGATATTCCAGTTGTGATATCCGCTACTGGATATTCCGGTTGTGATATCCGCTGCTGGATATTCCAGTTGTGATATCAACTACTGGAAATCACACAGGTAGTTTCTTGATCACCGATTCCGCTAAGTAACCTATTAACGACCATTTTCCATCCCATCCGTTCGTGAATTCAATAACGAGGCTTCCGAGGCGGTATCACGAGTCATCACCAATTCTTCGTCTGGCCGCCCTCCAGTCTAAGAATTGAAACATGTTTGTGTTAAAGTTTCCTCCATTTTCCCCTCC